TAATGCAGTCCACTCCAGCACAGGCTACACTCCTTTTCAAATAGCCAACGGCCAAAGTTTCAACCCTATGCCAGAGTTAACCCCAAAAGAACCAACGATCCCTTCACTGAAAGAATGGATGGAAAGCCTACAAAACACCTGGCCAATAGTCAGAAAATCACTAGATGAAGCTAGGCGGGCATACAAAGCACAAGCCGATAAAAAAAGGGTTGAGCCTACACCATTCATTATAGGAGAAATGGTGTACTTATCTACAAAATACCTAAAGTCCCTACAGCCCTGTAAAAAACTTGGACCAAAATATATAGGACCTTTTCCAATTAAAAGGATCATAAATCCAGTAACAGTAGAATTAGAATTACCCAAAAACCTCAGGCAAATACACCCAGTTTTTCATTGCAGCTTGCTGAAAAGAGAGCATCAGTCACCTCTACGGCCAAAAATCCCCCCCCCACCACCTCCAATCATGGTGGAGGGGGAACAACACTTCGAAATAAAAGAGATCCTTGACTCTAGGAGATATCGTGGAACAACTCAGTACCTAGTTGCCTGGAAACACCTCCCTGCCTCACAAAATGAGTGGGTCCATAAACGTCACGTCAGAGCCCCGAAGCTATTGAAGAAGTTTCACACAGAGTATCCTAACAAGCCTAACTAAATTTTTTACTTGTGTTTTCTTTCAGGTGGATCTCTCTTATTGTTAAGAGGGGCCGGATGTCAGAATCCAATTATATTTCATCTTTAATTATCAAACATAGAAACTCCAAATTCTGCCTTCTCTGGATTCTGCCATAAGAGGGAGAAAAGGGGGAGAGCAAAGGGGCTTTATGGCCCTCACTTCCTTCAGCACACTTCAAAGGACTGAATGTGTGTTTATTGTGGCCTCTAAGCTTTAACATATCAAAGAAGAGTAATTGCCTTTCATGTAGTTATCTGAAGTCTCCATCCAGACGGAAGAAGAAAGGGGATGGAATTGTGATACTTGAAACTATCACTGGAAGGGGGGTTGATTGGGTGGGACTACTGGGGAACCCCTTAAAACCTTGAATGGGAGAGCTTGAACCCCAAGTCCTGTCTAGCATGCCTGCAACCATTTTCTCTTAATAAAGGATTCCTGTTGGAAGAGCTATTCCAAGAGTTCTGTCTTCTTAAGATGCAAAGTGGGGTGGGTCCTTACAGAAACTCTTGCTGTATTTTGTGGGTGTCTTGGAATCAGTATTGTCTTTGGCAATTGCCTGGGCCAGTCTCTGCAGTTTTTTTGGCAAAGTTTTTCAGAAGTGGTTTGCCATTGCTTCCTTCCTAGAGCTAAGGGAAAGTGACTGGCCTTAGGTCACCCAGCTGGCTTTGTACCCAAGGCAGAACTAAAAGCCAGTCTCCCAGTTTCTAGCTGGATACCTCCACCACTACAGCAAATTGGCTCTGCTCCATATTTTAGTATATAATAAATGCAGATAGTCTTTGACTGCCATCCATTTGTTCAGTGACTGTTTAAAGTTACGGCAGTGCTGAAGAAAAAGGGCAGCAACTGGTCCTCAAAGTTATATCCACTGCAGCATCCCTGCTCACATAATTGCGGTCCAGACATTCAGTTGCCCAGCTCATGATTATAACATTGCAGGGAGCTGTAGTCACACGATCACCATTTTTTGACGTATTCTGCCAGCTTCACACAAGTAAAATCAATGGGGAAGTTGGCAGGGATGGCTAGTCGCTCTGGTAAATCACTCCCACTTTCTCTCCTGTCCACAGCACCTATCTGTGCATGGCCGACACCAACCCTCTCCTAAGTTTCATGTGTTGGCTCTCCCAGCCCCCCCCCCAATTCACTCATGACACCCCCAGCCACCCCAGCCTCTTTACCTGGGACTCCTGCCTCTTCTTGCTTAACAATCTAGATGATTCAGGCACAGCAGCAATTAGGACTGTTGGGATGGTTGTCACTAAGTAATGCAGTCATGTGATAAGACACATTGCTTAGCAATGGCAGTCCTGTTCCCAATTACCATCATACCCTAAGTATTCCATGTATAAAATGGCCAAAAGATGTTGGACTAGATGGATAAACCCATATTTAACTGCTATCTCAGCCATGGAAGTTCTCTAGGTGTCTTTGAATCAGACAATCTTTCTCAGCCCAACTTATGTCACAAGATTTTTGTGAGGAAAAATTGGAGGAGGAACTCCCATGCATACCACCTAGAAATCCTGGGCAAAAGATGGACTGTAATAAATAATGAATATTCTCATCTACATTCTTGAGCAAATCATTAGAGAAGGCTTATCTGGCTTCTGTTGTCCTGTCCATCTCAGCTTCTCCTCCCTGATCCTCAACTAATAGCTCTTGTGCATTCAATTTTTTTTTTATTTTGTGATCCAATCCTATTTTTATATGGCAATAATTTGGAGATCAAAAATGGATAGTTCTTGGGGAAGCCGGAACTTTGTTTCTAGTTTCCTGTTGCTGTTGAATGCTAAATGGCTGAAGGTTTTCATAAAAGCATTCATCACCTATTAGGAAATTGGTTGCTAGGATAGACAAGGAACTGTTCTTCTTTTTGACAAGCTAAGAGAGGTTTTCCCCTGTCATCTTCCCAGGCTGTAAAATGCATGGCCTTGAAAGTTGTGTTTGATCCCCACTCTTTAGGACAGGGTTTTTCAACCAGTGGTACGGGTACCACCTATGGTACATTGGCACCTGGCAGGTGGTACGCGACCATCCTAGAAAAGTGGTAGTGGGGGAATGGATGACAGCATCGCCAGGCGGGCAGGCAGGTGTCTTCCTCGGATGTGGCTTGGGGGGCATTTTTTTCAGTGCCATTGTAACTTCGAACAGTCACTAAGCGAACTATTGTAAGTCGAGGACTACCTGTACTTTATCACTTTTTTCCTTTTTTTGTCATCATGTTTTTGACACCTTACTAGGTGACTGGTGGTACTCGGATGTTGCCATATCCTAAAAGTGGTACAATGGGTGAAAAGGTTGAAAAGCCCTGCTTTAGGAAATCCTTAAAGCCACTCTCTCCTTTAATCCACCTGTTTGAGTGGATTATTATTTTGTTTTTAAGTTTTGTTAACTGACATGACACTCATCAGAGCAGAAACAGAGCACAAATCTGACAAACAAATACATTCATGGGAATTTTTCAAAGATTGACCTTGTGACTTCTTAATCTCAGTCTAAGGATCTACTGCAGCAAGTCTTTTTCTATAGCTGAATCCTACTCTGAGGACAGTTCAGTGCCAGCTAGGTCATCTGACAACCCTCACTGCTTTAAGTCACAGATAATTATATTGGAGCAATATTAGTAGGAGGTGAGATCAAAGATCCGGTTTCCCAAGAAAAAGCAAAATCACGTAGGAAGATAAAAGCTGTAGAGCAATCCTTTCTTTCTATGTAGCATTCAAAACCAGGAGGTTTATGGCAATAGCTTGGACAGAAACTAAACTGTTTACTGACTGAATAATTAGATAATTTACAGCAGATTGTTTCTCTTTTCATTTCTGACCTCTCTCCATTTTTGGTATATCATAACAAAAAATTAAAGGCTGGGCTGCATCTATGCTTTCAATGTATTCTTGACACATCTGAACTAGAGTCCATGAACCAGTTAGGCCTTCTGTACTAACAGGAGTCAGTTTAAAGGGAATTGAACCAGTTAAATCAGTCTGAGTCCTCCCTACATTCTCCAGGAAACTATCTTGCCCTCTGCCACTTCATAGACTAGAGTCACTAGACATTCCCTGTTCACATCAAATTGAACAGTACTGCAAAGTTCAGCTGAGTTGGTAATGCCTATGAGCATAGGGGCACTGGACCACAACAATCAATGTGATCCCTAAGTGAGTGTCAAGAGTGTGATGCTTTTTGTTTCTTTCTTTCCTTCTAGTGCAGGGGTGTCAAACATCTGACGTGTCATGACATATCACAACTTTTTTCCCCTTGCCAGAGCTGGTGTGGGTGCGGCTTCCACATGAAGCATCTGGTCTGCAGGCCGGCAATTTGACAACCCTATTCTAGTGGAATTCTGGAATGTTGCAGCCCAGAAATTCATGGGAATTTCTCCAACCCTAGTTGAGAATTTCCATCTTTTGGGCTTCAGCTCTTGGGGCATGGGAAGAAGTAACAATAGCCTGCCGGCCTGCCTGCCTGCCTGCCTGCCTGCCGGCCGGCCGGCCAGCCTGCCTGCCTATCTATCTATCTATCTATCTATCTATCTATCTATCTATCTATCTATCTATCTATCTATCTATCTATCTATCTGTCTGTGTAGGTCTTTAGTTATTTGGGTTTTCTCCCATGTAAAATTGGAAGTGTCTTGGCGATGTTTTGACAAAGTCCCATTCGTCATCTTCAGGCTGGTGTTTTCGGCTTCATGCTTCTATCTATCTATCTATCTATCTATCTATCTATCTATCTATCTATCTATCTATCTATCTATCTATTTAAGAAACTGCCCATCTCCATCACAGCTTGTCTACTTCAGCCCCTTTTCTGTCTGACAGAGTGGTCTGCTCCCTTGGCTACTTAGTTTGTCCTTGGAGTAGTTTAATGGAGCAACAGCGTAATTTTTTGCCCCAGGCTTAACATTGTTTTTCAACTTCCTTGCTCAAACCTATAAAGTGTTTGAAAGTCTGCCGTCCTGTTCTAGTCCCAAGAGCTTGTGCTTGGAAAATATCTGAACAGCTTTAGTTTTACTTGCAAAAATGTCTTGGTGTATGAGCTTTACCCAATTCTGTCTGGCAGGTGATGCCGCAGAAAAGGAGGTCAGTGTGTGCTGGGTTCCCTGGTGTTCACCCTTTAAATCCATTCCATCTCATTAGTACATCAGTCTGCAAATCTTTCTGTTGAAAAGCAGCTAAGTTGATACTAATGCTGTTGCTTTACTTCTGTATTATACTGCTCTTCCCTCACCCCGAGTAGTTTACACGAGAAAAAAAGATTAAAAAGAAATAAAATGTGCAATAGTTAAAATTAATAACATCACACTGTTCTCTTTCAGAGGAACTGCCATGCAGAAGAAGAGAGAAGTGGGAAATAATAAACTAAAGAACTTGAAGGCATGAGGTAAAAAACGGGAACATGCCTAAAAGTCATAGTGGGATTAGGCAGCCTAACAAAAGCAAGCAATCAAGGAATAAATTTAGCATATACCAATAGTATTCACTAAATCTCCCCATGTCTTTTATGGTTGCAAATTGTGCTGGCTTCCATTATGTCCGTATGCTGCTTCATATATTGTGTTTTTGTTTTTTAAACTTCTTACTTCTCTCTTTTTCAGCACCTCACCCCATTTGTTACATATCAGCTTTCCTCTTGATCCATTCTTTTTTTTTACATACTTGTTTTGAAATTTGTTTCTCCTTCATTCTCTTAATTGTTTTGGAAGTGGGGAAAGTTGTTTACCACTGCATTGTCTGTTGTAACAGACATGTTAACAGAAGAGCATCTCCATTTTGTTGAGTTCTCTTGAGGAAAAAAAAAATATCTCTGGATATGGGATTGATTCTCCCTTTTTCCAAAACAACCTGCCATGGTTGGGGTCAGCAATTCTCTTGTACCCATACGCAGAAATTTCCTGTGATTAAAGGTATGACATTCCTTTGTAGCTATTTGATTTGGATCTTCCCTAATGATTTAAATGGGCTTTTGTTGTGATATTGTCTATTTGCGTCAGTCAGTGGCATCCACTCACCTGATCTGAGAGTGCTTTCGGGCCCTTTGTACTGCTATCCATTCCAGTTGGTAATTCAGCAGTGTTGACTCATAATGAATCTACATTCTTTGCCCTGCCTTGCCCTGCCCTGCTTGAAGGTAAGCTCCCTACCCCGTTATGCTAGCTAGACTAATCTGATTTCCAGATGGCTTGTCTGCTTCTTGTCTGGATTACATCAAAAGGCTGACAGGCTGGGAAATTATACATCAACAGGGCAAATTTTGTTGCTATCTTCAATCATCTTGCCTTAATGCTTCATTTGTTTGGCTCCAACACTTGTTGGGTCTGCTGTCTTAGCTCTAGACTCTCAAAGTTGATGCAGGTAAGAGCTTTTTCTCTTGAAAACATCTGGATTCTATGGGATCCCTTTCCTCCTCTTTGCAATAGTCACTGCATTCTTACATGCTGAGATTTTCCTAATCCTAGATGCTTTTCCATCTCAGTTTGAGTAAAATGACTTCTTAGAAAGCCTTGTCCAGACTTTTCATTATCTATGGCACATTTAGCTATTTTTAAATGCTAATCTGCCTTATCTTGCATGCTTTATCTTCTTATAAAGTGTGTGTGTGCACACCTATGTGTAGGGGTGTGCATCTCTCTATGTGTGTGTGTGTATGTGTATACATACACACACACAATACATATGGTATGTATTTCTTTCTCCCATATTTGGGCTGATAGGGTCCATCAAAAAACACTCAAGGTAAATCTCCTCTCCTTGTCTCTTCCCTCCCTGATACAGCTGACAAAGTGAGAAAGAGCCTGTGTCCTTGAGGTTAACACAGCTGCCTAACATGTAAGCAGCCCAAGTTCGAATCTCAGAAGGGTATGTTTGGCTGAAGAGAGCTAAGAAGCTCGAAATAGTTCCATCCTCCCTTATTCTTTGTTAGCAATCCAAAAAATGTATATATACAAATGAGGTCGCAATTGGCGACTGCTGCCTGTGGATGGCGCTAGATTGAGCTGATTCAGGCAAAAGAAAAAAAAAGAAAAAGAAAGATTTCTTTCTCCCATATTTGGGCCGACAGGGTCCATCAAAAAACACTCAAGGTAAATCTCCTTCCCTTGTCTCTTCCCTCCCTGATACAGCTGACAAAGTGAGAAAGAGCCTGTGTCCTTGAGGTTAACACAACTGCCTAACGTGTAAGCCAGTGGTTCTCAACCTGTGAGTCGGGACCCCATTTGGGGTCGAATGACCATTTCACGGGGGTCGCCAAACAACGCAGTCCGCCATTTTTTCCCCTTTTCCTTGGCTGTGCTACTCCCTTTTATTCTATTGGCTTGAATAGAGTCTAATTCTATTGGCTTTCAAAAGCCAATAGGAATTGTCCAGGCTGTCTCTGCCCTGCTGAGCCTGCCAAAAGTCCCATTCTGCAAACGGTGCTGCACCAGTTGAGTAGTCCTCGACTTACGACCGGTTGGGGGTCGCGGCATTAAAAAGGTTGAGAACTACTGATGTAAGCAGTCCAGATTCGAATCTCAGAAGGGTATGTTTGGCTGAAGAGAGCTAAGAAGCTCGAAATAGCTATTCCATCCTCCCTTATTCTTTGTTAGCAATCCAAAAAATGTATATATACAAATGAGGTCGCAATTGGCGACTGCTGCCTGTGGATGGCGCTAGATTGAGCTGATTCAGGCAAAAGAAAAAAAAAGAAAAAGAAAGAAAGATTTCTTTCTCCCATATTTGGGCCGACAGGGTCCATCACAAAACACTCAAGGTAAATCTCCTTCCCTTGTCTCTTCCCTCCCTGATACAGCTGACAAAGTGAGAAAGAGCCTGTGTCCTTGAGGTTAACACAACTGCCTAACGTGTAAGCCAGTGGTTCTCAACCTGTGAGTCGGGACCCCATTTGGGGTCGAATGACCATTTCACGGGGGTCGCCAAACAACGCAGTCCGCCATTTTTTCCCCTTTTCCTTAGCTGTGCTACTCCCTTTTATTCTATTGGCTTTTGAAAGCCAATAGAATAGACTCTCTTGAATAGAGTCTAATTCTATTGGCTTTCAAAAGCCAATAGGAATTGTCCAGGCTGTCTCTGCCCTGCTGAGCCCGCCAAAAGTCCCATTCTGCAAACGGTGCTGCACCAGTTGAGTAGTCCTCGACTTACGACCGGTTGGGGGTCGCGGCATTAAAAAGGTTGAGAACTACTGATGTAAGCAGTCCAGATTCGAATCTCAGAAGGGTATGTTTGGCTGAAGAGAGCTAAGAAGCTCGAAATAGCTATTCCATCCTCCCTTATTCTTTGTTAGCAATCCAAAAAATGTATATATACAAATGAGGTCGCAATTGGCGACTGCTGCCTGTGGATGGCGCTAGATTGAGCTGATTCAGGCAAAAGAAAAAAAAAGAAAAAGAAAGAAAGATTTCTTTCTCCCATATTTGGGCCGACAGGGTCCATCACAAAACACTCAAGGTAAATCTCCTTCCCTTGTCTCTTCCCTCCCTGATACAGCTGACAAAGTGAGAAAGAGCCTGTGTCCTTGAGGTTAACACAACTGCCTAACGTGTAAGCCAGTGGTTCTCAACCTGTGAGTCGGGACCCCATTTGGGGTCGAATGACCATTTCACGGGGGTCGCCAAACAACGCAGTCCGCCATTTTTTCCCCTTTTCCTTGGCTGTGCTACTCCCTTTTATTCTATTGGCTTGAATAGAGTCTAATTCTATTGGCTTTCAAAAGCCAATAGGAATTGTCCAGGCTGTCTCTGCCCTGCTGAGCCTGCCAAAAGTCCCATTCTGCAAACGGTGCTGCACCAGTTGAGTAGTCCTCGACTTACGACCGGTTGGGGGTCGCGGCATTAAAAAGGTTGAGAACTACTGATGTAAGCAGTCCAGATTCGAATCTCAGAAGGGTATGTTTGGCTGAAGAGAGCTAAGAAGCTTGAAATAGCTATTCCATCCTCCCTTATTCTTTGTTAGCAATCCAAAAAATGTATATATATAGTATATATATATTATAGTAATTATGGGAGTGTTAAACTCAATATATCCGGACATTAAATTTACGGTGGAGGAGGAGATCCGGGGCTCGATAGCCTTTTTGGACGTATTGGTCCAACGTTCCTTAGATGGAACTTTGAACACCAAGGTCTATCGGAAGCCCACCCATACGGACCGAATCCTCCACTTCCATAGCAACCATCCGGCCTCCCATAAAGCCAGCTGCATTAAGACCTTGTTTAAACGGGTGCAATCGCACTGCAGCACCATGGAGTCTAAGGCAGAAGAAAGAAAACATCTATTCCGCATATGCCGGATGAATGGGTACCCCCTAAGGTTTATTAAGCGACACAGTATGGTATCAGACCCCCGAAACGGACAGCAAAGAGAGGAACCCCGGACACGAACCGTACGGGTGTCTCTACCGTACATTAGTAATGTGTCAGAAGCCACAGCCAGGCTTCTGGCACCCCACAATATACAGGTAGCCCACAAACCTACCCAGACCTTACGAGCTAAAGTGATGCGCCCCAAGGACCAGCTCCCTACCGCCGAGAGATCAGCTATAGTTTATAAGATCAACTGCACGGGGTGCCAGAGTAATTATGTAGGCGAGACCTCAAAAAGACTTAAGACTCGTCTACATGAGCATAGGTTGGCTATTAGACGAGGCGAACAACATTCGCAGATTTGGGCCCATGTAGCAGAATACGACCATTGCTTTAACTTTGAGAATGCCCAAATCTTGGCCAACGACACGACAAAAGGAGGTTGCCTGCTGAAAGAGGCATGGTTTTCAGGAACGGAGTCCATCAATCGGCGCGTAGACTTGTGTGCAGCGCACCAAGCTCTGAAAAAAATGTGGAGTGCCAGCAACCGTACTAACATGTGGGGGGGACCCAATCAAAAAACTTGTAATCAAAATACCACCCGGCCCCCCTCCCTGCGTAATTACACCAATGGAGCCTCTATTGACAGCTCCTCCCTCCCGGATCGACAACAGACTAACTCCAGCGGACAACTGCGGCTAGGTTTGCCACGATCCGCCGGGAGCAGACTCTTTTTGGGACGGAATGGAGATGGAGTGGGGCTTGAGGAACCGGAAGGAAAACGGAATATAATAAAGTCTAACGAGGACGATGAGAACGAGGATGAATCCCCCTTTGAGGATACTACCAGGCACATTATGATAACCCGGTCGCAGTCGAGCAGAGGAAGGCACCCCCCTCTGACATTCTCAACACAAAGCTGCGGAGTGAAACAGCGACTGCAATTAAAGGGGAAGAGCCCCGTACGGAGTGAGAATGGAGAATTGGGGATGAGTGGGAATGGTGCTTACCGACAATGGACGGAACAACAAGGCACTGACAATGGGACAATGGCAGAAAACATCTTGAGTGTGCGCAAGGGAGA